AAACTTAACAACGTAGAATCATAGTCAATATATCGATAAGTATATTTATCAAAATATGATGTATGAAGAATGGGAGTCTTTAATCGATTAATAACTAATTTTAATTGATTAATCGCGAATATTTTTATAATTATTAATAGTCTGAAACTGTAAATGATAATTAAATGCATCAAAATATATGGATAGGAACCTTTCACTATATTTTTGAATAACTATTTTCAATGATTTTGTATAAAAAATAAAATAAATATTTATAAGAGACATTAATCATTTATATGTTCCATAAATGAAATTTCAAGTATAGCTTTTATTCGTTTAATTACAGCTCTATGAATTATATGAATTTTATAAAACAATTAATATTTTGAAACATATAATAATATCCCGCAGTTACTTTTATATAAGACAAATATTAAAAAGAATTATGAGAATATATTTAGAAAATATAAGCATTTTATAAAGCACTTTATTTAAAAAATAACAATAGATACAAACATTCACAAACATGATTCTTATATTAAAAAATTGGAATCCCTACAATATTGATATTACTTCAATTTCTGCTAATAATTCTTAATAAATTATTAATATTTGACTAATTACCAAATATATCTATGAAGAGAAAAATGTAGAGAAACAGGGGCATATTATATTATGTGCAGTATGTAATAAACAATCGAGTTCAGAACTTTAAATTTACAAAATCTTGAAAGGTCCATTATGTCTAACAAATTCGACAAATTTTTAAAGTTGCAACATCTTGCATTCTTATTAAATGATATACGTTAACGAACAGAAGTGGAAAAGCACAGTTTAGGTTAGACACAGAAATTGGGGAGACAATTTGGGACAGAAGCATAGTGATTGGAGAAGCAATCATTTATTCAATATAATGAATTACATTATCTGGTAATAATTACTTATTCATTTTTAATAAAAATCTTATAAAGTCTACACATTCATCTATCCACAAGCATTCGTTAACAAAAAGAAGATTTTAATTAAAATTATTCCACTGTTTGTAATCGATAATTATTAAAGCATTACATGTAATAAAATTTATATAAAAACACCATTTTAAAACCTCAATTTATAGTACCTTTCAGATCTGATTGATAATAATAATAATAATATCTATAAGTCGAATAATAATAAAAAATACAGTAATACTAATTAGTATTTTAATATTCAATATAGTAAACAAAACAAACTAAAAAATTAAGTAAATACAAATTAAGTTCAATTCAAGCTTTAATTGAATATAATGTTAATGTTTATTTTAATATGTAATATAATGAATACAATTTTAACTTTATGTATCATTCATGAATAGCATTAAAAATTTGCATAATCAAGAAAAGTCAAAGAAATATACTTTTAGTTAAATACATATTTTTCTATCTAATTAATTTTTTTTATAATGTAAGCTATATTATTACAGAGGTATAAAAAAAATATTTAAAGTGAATTTCTGAAATTATGCAGAGAAAAAGGCTTGTGATTTATATTCAACTGAATTAATCACTATCAGTACTGAAATAGATTAGTAATTGGATTAGTAATTATGCTTGAAATTTTATTTTAATTTTTGATACGAAATCATTGATTAGAATGTAAAGTTTATTCGAATAGATTAAACAATATTTTTAAAAACATTGAAGTTTGAATTAATAAAAAAATGTATACAATGTTACTTTCCATATTTTTTAAATAACTAAGTTATATTTTCAGTAAGTGTTAGAAAAAGTAAAAATAATAAAGTTTATTCGATATCTATGTTGAAATCGAAATTATTTAATTTTTTTATTGTACACATATACATTAGTTTTTCATACATTTTAATCATTTATATTCAGTATTTAACATTTACGTAAATTAGTAAAAATAACGCATAAAAATATAATGATTATTTTATTAAAAGTAATATTAAAAAATATTAAAAAAATAAATGTTATATTATTATTACCTTCAAAACGTATTCGTTTAATATTGATGTTAAAAATAAATTAAACTAAAAACGAAGGAAATCGTTATTTATGTGTCAATCTATATAAAAAACGACTTATTTCCCTTTATTATTTAATATTTTCGAAAAATTATAAATATTTTAAGGTTTTTCGTATTGGCAGTATTATTTTACATGGATATATTAGCTCTTTAAAGTTTAGTTTGTTGCCTAAATCGATATGTGCAACTAGATAAACAGTTATTAGATATGTTCGTTCTTTGGGGTATAATTAATTTTAAAATATAGGATCTTGATTATTTAAATAACGAATAAAATATATATTAATGGATAAATGTATTCTGATATACAATATAAGTTAAGAACAAGCAGGCGATTTATTTAAAAAAAATCCGATACAGGACGTATCACAATATTGCTACTTAAGTCGCTGAATAACACTTCATGAATATATGTTTTTAAATACCTGTGACGTAAAATACGTCATTTATAACTTCCGTTTTCATGATACTAATATTTTTTGTTTATATTTTTAAGGTTGTGATATTATATTTATAAAATATAAATATAATATAAATATAAATATAATATAAATATTATAAAATATAAATATAATATATATATATAAACGTTTTACTATGAATTTATTTGACAAAGTTACCATGAATTAAACATTTATTTATATGCATCTCCTTTCGTAAGTAAAAGTTTCATGGTGTTTTATATTTTCAAAAATATGTTTTGTGATATCAATATATATATATATATATAATTCAATCTTTAAAAAATAAAAAAATTATTATAATAAAATATATTACACAATAAAATAATATATAACATAATATAATATGCAAATAAAATATAATAAGTTAGTAAAGCTTAGAATTATATATTATTACTATTTTTTTATTATTCTTAATACATTATTAAGAAAAATCTTAATCGTTATCTTAATCTTTTTTTTAAAAACGAGAATAGAAAAACGTATTTAGAAAATTTGCCATTTAAACGATTTAATTTGCCTAATCTAAAATTTCTGTTTTTAATTAATTCCAATATTTATTTTTAATACGATTAATATCTTTTAAATATAACGAAGTGCATACGTGATTAGCATTAACTAAATTGAAGTTGGCAATGAAATTTGTATATTTTCCTTTATTTACACTTAGTTCTATTAAGCATTTAAAGAAATTATTTAAACTATTTAATACACGAATTAAATTTTTTGTTCCCTTAGCATACCCAGCATACAGTTAAAAAGTGCTTAAATACTTAATTATTCTAATAAAGGTCTATATCCTATTTAATCATGTGATAAATAATTTTAAAACAAATTTGATATTTGTTTATATTTAACGTAAGTTTATATTCGTGTCTTTAAGGAATAAAAATACTTGTATTTGATGAAAACTTGTACTTGTAGTACTTTTTTAATTTTTTTTTCTGTTTTTAATAAAAATGATATATTCTATAGTGCACATAGTTTCTCTGTAATACATTATATATGGCTTAATTCGAATAAATCTCAAGTGTGCAATGTTTGTGTGCTTTGATGCAACGCATTATCGTAAACGCATGCATAAGCAAGAGAAGTGCAAACGCTTGCAGAGTAAATGCGCGTATTGTCGACAGTCATTTTACGATCCGTCACTGCGATTGTCACTTTACGTTGCACGTGACGTATTGTCCCATCTACCCATCTTTAAACTGCTCGAAGCAGCAGTTTGTATGACAGAGAGTTTGAATGAGAAAACGACAGGGCGAGGAGGATAATGATAGAGCTAGCTAGCTAGATAGACAGACAGAGATAGAGTGAGAGAAAGAGAGAGATAGTGAGAATGTTGCGCGCGCGCGTAAGTTCGTGTGCGTGTGGGCGCGCGTGCGAGCAGGAGAGCGATAAAGATAGAGAATGAATAAGGGAACAAGAAGGGGGAACGAAGGCGAAAGACGGCGAGACTAGAGAGGGGACAGAGACGACGCGTTGCTGCTGTTGCTGCTGCTGCTGCTACGGCTGCTACGGCTGCTACGGCTGCTACGAGGTTATGCGAAAAAATGTTTTCGGCACGCGTAGTAGCGCGCTGTGAACCCTGAAGGGTTTTACAGTTATACTGCAATGTGGCACATTTGCAGAAGCGCGGAGGACGTGTAGTTATAATCTCGCGAGACTTAGAAAGAGTGGCGTGGAGAGGAGAGGAAGGAGAGAAAGAAAGAGAGAGAGATAGAGAGAGAGAGAGAGAGGAGTGGAGATACAGGAAAATTCCTAAGGCCGAAGAGAGACAACGACGACGACGACGACGACGACGACGACCACGACGTGCCCGTGTTTGTATATGTGTGTATATATGTTTATCTCGTGTATGGGTAAAGTGCGTGTCTCCGTTTTTCTTTCTTTATTTTCTTTTCTCGTTCGTCCATCTCTCTCGCTCTCCCGTTTTCTTTCTTATGCGCATGCACTAGAGAGAGACGCGGATAACAGGAGTCACACGCAGAAAGAGAGAAAGAGCGAGAGAGATATAGTTAGTTAGTCGAGGTATATCGCGCCCTTCGCACAACACGCGTGAGCTTCGCGTCTCCGCGAGCTCCCTATATATTATTTATTTTTCGTTATTTTTTTAGTTCTACGGGCGCGCCAGTACTTAATACGGGCTACGGGGGTAGGTAATAAAGAATTTTAATATATTGTGTCCGCGATCAAACGAAAATACCACATAGACGCGTATAGAATTGTAAGGCCTCGTTTATTCTATTTTTTATGCATGTTTTATATCAGAGATTAATAAAGTGGACGAGAGTTTTTTTAAGAATTTTAACATATCTTCAATGTATATGCTTTACGTTTACGTCCTTGAATGCTTTAAGCAACTGACAGAAGAGGTGTGGAATTTTTAATGAATTTCCATTTTTTCTTTTTCTTGGGAATAAGAGGATTACTTAACTACTTGTGCAAAGCCTCTACAATTCTATAAGCGTTTATCCATGAGTTATCATTACAAATTTATCTGTCCACATGGTTTACACTGATTTTTAAGTAAATTAACATTTGTAGTATTCCAAAATATTTAAGATCGTTAATAAGATTACTTCTTACATTTCAAAAGATTTATTTAAATATCAGTATTTGTAAACGATACAGAGCAAGTTATTTACTATCATTAGGCTAATAATTTAAAAAGAAAAGAGGTAAAGAAAGAGAGAGAAAGAGAGAGAGAGAGAGAAAGCAAAAGCAATCACGCTGGTGCATAGCTGTAGGGGCGAGAAAACAGCTAGTTTGGTTGTAGGGTTGGGATTGGAGATAAACAAGATGGACCAGCAGTATTGTCTCCGCTGGAACAATCATCCGGCCAATCTTACGGACGTCTTGAGTTCCCTTTTGGCACGCGAAGCACTGTGCGACGTTACCTTGGCCTGTGTCGGTGAAACCTTCAAGGCCCACCAAACGATACTGTCCGCATGCAGTCCATACTTCGAGAACATCTTCCTGCAGAATACCCATCCACATCCAATAATCTTCCTCAAAGATGTCAATGACACAGAAATGAAGGCCTTGTTACATTTTATGTATAAGGGCGAGGTTAATGTGAGCCAGCATTTGCTGCCTATGTTCCTGAAGACAGCAGAAGCATTACAAATTAGAGGACTTACAGATAATAGTGTAAATAATAAGGGTGACGACAAAAGTCCAAGTCCAGAACCTGAGGTGCAGGCTGGAGTAAGGCACTCAGATTCCCCAAGTATACAGAGTCATCCTGAAAAAAGGAAACGAAAGGTTTCTGGAAACTACGATGTATCATTAACTGGACCACCCAGCGAAAGATTTCTATCAGATTCTCAGGTATGTATTTTAATATTGTTTTAATCTTTGTTGATTAATGTTGCATATTGTATATAATTGATAATTGAAGTAATATTATCTATATGCTTCTATCAAATTAAGGAATATTGGTATTAAGGAATGAGTTTTATTAAATAACATTTACTTTTTTCTCTAAAATATTAAAAATATGTTAATTAAATAAAACAAAGTTTTAACTAAAAAAAAAACCATTTTATAATGATTCTACTTTATGTTTAAGTAAATTATTAAATTAATTTTCTCTTAATTATCAATAAGTAGTACTACATAAATTGATACTTAGTTGAAAAGAATAATATAATAATGAAATATACTTCCTTAATTATTTTAATTAATCCAGCATTTTATTTCTTTTACATTTTATAGTTTTGTATTCACAGTTACTTTAAATTTTGAATATAAATACACATTTGTACAAATTTTACTTATAGTTACTCAGTCACAATGATCTTATAAATAATTATAGAATATTTATATAATATTCCTTGATCTATTGTTTATATTTTACAATATCAATTCATTTTTCTTATCAACTTTTTAGTAAATTACTTATATTTTTATTTTATAATTATATATTTAAATAATATATATATATATATATATATTGAAAATTTTCAAATAATATTACTGTCTTCTTCAATATATAAAAATAGTATATCTATTAGTCCTAGAACTTTCAAAACTTTCACTCATAAGCTGTGTACATTTAATTTGACCCAATTTTCTGTTATGTCTGCCTAAGTGATTAATATACATTTTTGAAATACCTTTTAATTTTGCATATGTTACAATATAAATTTTAAGTTTAAAAGTATTTCATGATGATAATATGTACAATGAGTTAAGCAAATTAAACTTACCACTTGCAAAACCACTTGTATTAATAAATCAACTGTGTACAAATTAAATAGTCTGATAAAAAATTAAAAAATATGTATTTTCTTATTTTAAAATTTGCCTTATATATAAATATTATAAAAATCATGTATAATATTGTGAATTATACATACCACATTCAAGTTAATGAAACTACACTAAGAGAAATGTCATTTTATGAAAGGTTAGGTAAGCAGCCTAATGATTGTGCAAATCTTTTAACATTTTATGTATATTATACACAATATTAAATAAAATACAATATTATGAGAGAAAAAATTACCACCTCTTAAATTTTAACTGATAAAAAGAAATTTTGAGTAGTTGCTATCTCTAAGCTGTAAAGACTTTAGATAACACATTCTTTGTTTTTTCTTAGTGTCGATAACATTGAGATTTTATAAAATAAGAATAATAGGGCTATATAAAAATGAATGAACTTTTATTTTTAGGCATCTTCTCAATGTAGCTACAAATCAAGTCCTACGATTCCAAAGTCAAATAACGCATTGGGAGGAGATCTGGAAGATGGTGGTCGATCCATTTCTCCATCATCTCAACCACAAGCTCCAATAAAACAAGAGCTTGATCATCATATGGCCGACTTTCATGATAATATATCTCTCCCAGTAAGTAAACTTATTTTAAATATTTATTGTTATATATCAAAATTGCTGAAATCATTCTTTTTAGTTTTTAGAGTGGAATTCTTTAAAAAAATTACAAATACATAAAAACTGTTGCTTTTGTTTTATAAAAATACCTTATAACTTTATTTTCTATATTTTATTCATTAGTTATTATAAATAATACTAGAATTTTTAATATTCCAAAAATATATATCCAAATATGATTTATGATTTATTAAAATATGTTTAATAACAATTGATGAATACACACATAATTTCAAATGTACTTATACTGATTTATGTATGAGATGAGTTTGCAGTTTGTTAAATAAATATTGAAAAGTTTGTTAAAACTGTGTTTAAAAAATATTATTAAAAATTAATCTAACATTGAATAAGTAGTAGTAATATATGTACATATTGCCAACCAAATTTTAAAGATTAATTATTCTTATTAATCATTTATAATTTATTCTATGAGAATAATATTTAAGGATTAAATACAAGTATACTTTTATTTTAATTGAATAAAAATTAATTATTTATTCAATATTTAAATAAAATTTGTATGGAAAGATTTAATTTGTTTAAAATTAACAAGAAAAAATAATATTTATGATCTAATAACAATTTTAAATTCTACATCATAAATGAAAAAATAAAATTTATATTATAATAAAATAAGACTTTTTCAAATAATAATGTTTTAAAATTATGTATAATTTTATTACTTTAGTTATGTTTCAATAAATTTATTTTACAAAACTTAATAAAATACACTCTTGGGTACACACACACAAACGCCTTTCTAAAAAATTAATGTTTGCTTATTTATAAATATTGAAATATCTAAACTATTATTTTCAATTGTAATTTTATAAAATCAATATTATGTCCTTTTTTCTATATTCACTACGTTCTTTGAAAAATTTGTTACAACTTTTGGAGTTTTTTTCATTTTTAATAAGTTTATTTGATAAGTTGTAATTGATCAAAACTAAGAAAATACTGGAACCAGTCATATCATGGAAAGATTGGAAGGCAATACAAATACACTTAATTTTGATTAATTTTGAGCTTAATTGATTTAATACACTGAATATTTAATATTTAGAATTTAATACACTGAAATATGATTAAATATAAAATTTTCTTTATTTTTAACATACTAATTAGAGAAATTAAATTAAGGAAGAACATCAAAGTATATAAAAAATTATGAAATTTGTGCCTATGACTTTACATTTATATGCATCTCAGAATTACAATATCTTTATGTAAATTGGTTTTTTCGTTGGTTTATAAAAAGAATGTAAAAAACTGCCATACAAGGGAAAAGTCTAACGATAATTATGCGAAGCGAACAAAAATCGGTAATTTCATATATGTAAAATAACGGTTCTTTGGATCATGTACTTTTTCGATAGTGTTTAAATTATGATATGAAAGATCTAACATTCAATAAAACAAAAAATTAATTCAATACATGTTCATTTTATTTTTTACTATATAATCTTATTAGAAGATTCATTGAATAATGTAAATAATTAGGATATCAATTATGGTAAGATCCGAATTTATAACAAACAGGCTTCTGAATTATTATTAATATTTATCAATTACCTCAAATTTATAAAAATATTGTTCTTGAATAATTATGTTCATTAATTCTATGATGTATTGAAAAGTTTTTTTCAAATAGGAAATTTAGGATTTATAACTAATTCCTTAAGTGTTGTTAATCACTTTATAAATGTAGCTGTAATTAAATTGCCAAACTTATAATAATCAGTATAATTATATCTCTGTAAGATAATAGAATTTCAGTATAAGTTAAATTTTAACTTAAATAACATTTTCGAAGAAGCATTCATTATATAATTAATATTATGACAAAAACAAAATTATTCAAAAATTTGCACATTAATATCAATTATTAATACCCAACCTTATGCACTCTTAAGCGTGTGTGTGTATATATATATATATATATATATATATATAATGAAAATGCAAAAAATTGTTAGCAGTTATATCTTGAATAGAAAAAGTTGCTGCTAATAATAAATAAAATTAAATATGATCATTAGAGCAAAGTAAATCAAAACAAATCTTACACAGTCATAACAATCTGTAATAAATTTTGTTATCTAAAATAATCGTATTATAAGGTTGTAAAATAAATAGATGTCACAATTAAGCAAAATATTTGCATGTATATCTTTATAATTTTATTATGATAATGTACACACTTAATGAACAATATTGAACTTTCCTTATTATAAAAATATATCTAATAAAAAATATTAAAAATCAAAATATATGACAATTATTATTATTATTATTAATATTTATATTCTTTGACAATAACTTTTTTTTTCTAAAATTATAAAAACAATGAAAGTTCGTTGAAAAATAAAATAAGTTTACTTTCAAAATATTTAAAAATATATTTGTCTCAATTTGATTTTATAAAATATAGATTATTGACGCTGATAAAGCAAAATTTTTATGAAAAATAAATAATGAGTATTTTTAATTTATTATTACACGTATTTGGATTGAATAACACGAATAATCAAAATAGCTTATTTTTATAATACCAATACTTATTTCGTTCATTTAAAAAAGTTTAATACATTTTTTGTCTATTGACGATAATTTCATATATCTGTGGAAATAAATCGATAGATTAATTTTTAAACGATTACACCTGTCAATTATAAAATTAAATCTTGAGAATTTTCATTTGAATCCTACCTAATAAATACTTTAATCTGTGTTTTCCAATCCTTAAATCTGAATTTTGTAAAATACAGTATTTAGAAATTTTTAATGGACTCATCAATAGAATTAATAGTTCTTTTCCCATTAAAGGAATCACTACAAAATTATATAAATGTATAATCCCAGTAAAATATTCACCAAATGAAAATATTAGGAACGCCTTAAAAATTCTTTTTAAAATTTTCATAGGGACATGCAGTCAGTTTACTAAGCGAAGATAGTGGTCCAACGACAGGAACACTTAACGACAATATCCCAGGAATCGAATCTTCAGAGCATCACAATCCACCAGAAATGCTTGATGGACTCGATGGTAAGGCTTTTTTATATTTAATAACTTATATCTCAAATTTTCCATAGATTTCACGTATTTTTTATATTATATTTTATAATATAAATTTTTCATTTTTAAGTTACTTTATTTCTTTTAACATATACTTACATAAGTGTGTATTAAGTAAAAAATGTGTGGAATCGTAGAAATCGAGGGAGATTGCTAATTCCCTGCATGCACGTTTGTTTACAAATCATCGCAGTAACATAATAAAATTTATTTTAAAAAAGAGAAAAAAAGAGTGTCGTACATAGTCTTATAAGACGGGCATCCCTCTATTTCCAAGACTGGCAAGAGTAGTCGAGTGTAAAAAATCTGAAGAGCAGACAACAAATTTGAGTTACTTGTTTTTCTTCCCATACATGTATATTGTACCATATTTATTAAGCCCTTACTGTTTATTTTTTCTTGGTGATGGTGTATCGTGCATTTGCTATGTCATTGTGTGGTAGTTTGAACGATAATCGTGAGTGTGTCTTGTTTCTTTTTACTCTCTTGATATATATATATATATATATATATATATATATATATATATATATATATATATATATATATATATATATATATATATATATATATATATATATATATATATATATATATATATATATATATATATATATATATATATATATATATATATTTGTGTGTGTGTGTGTGTGTGTGTGTGTGTGTGTGTATTTTAATATCCTTTCCTTTCCAATATCGGAGCACTTTAACAGGCGTTTGGTCTTTTTTTCTTTATGGGGTTAAATGGTACAAGCCAATACCGTACAAAAATAATAAATATTATATAACGTAATATTAACATAATTTTTACAATTGAACATGTATACGTTAGAAGATTTAACGTGTGGATTTTTTCGATAAATTACGTTTGTTCGATTTACATCCATCGAATGAACAAATATGCGTATACTTACACATGTGTGGCTAAATTAACGATAAATCGATTGTGTACAGAAAGTATTTTCAGTTTTTTCGAATGCCAATCTTCATTTGCTTGCTTCATTAAGCTGTAATTCGTGTATCTTCTCGGCTCCTAAATTATTATTTAACTGCTTTCGTTGAGATAGATTATTTCCAATATCCACATAAAATAATAATTACATTGATTGTAAAAGATAATAGTTTTATCATGAAATCAAGGCGTTAATTATTGAAGTTCGGTCAAGAATCAATGTGGGTATCGACGAACTAACTTCATGCTACGAGCGTAATGAAATATATATAATGTTAGATTTGCCAAACTAGTTTGCTGCTGCTTTTGAATTTTATAAAATACGTGATTTTTATTTTTCACACATTGCACACTGACCTTTGCACATAAATTTTTATTTAATATATAAACAAAATTGAGATAAGTGATAGGATGCTTTCATAAAGATCTTATCATAACTCGTATTATTTAAATATATATATATATATAATAATAATAATAATAATAATAATAATAATAATAATAATATGTATATATCATTAAATTTAAATCAAAATAGTTACTGTAATGCAATTATTAATAAGTATTACCTCATATTCAACATTTGCCTACAAATTCAAAATTTGAAAACCATAGAAAAATTTCTTGATAAAACATGATAGTTGATTGAAAAATAAATCTATTACTTTAAATAATAAAATCATTGATTTGAATGAATTTTTATACGTTAAAAAAATGAAAAAGAAAGTAGATGTAGTGAAAGATAGGATCAAAATTCGTAATGAATATTTTCAAAATTATGAACATTATGAAAATGAAAAAGAACGTAGATATAAAGAAAGAGGAACAAAATTCATAATAAATATTGTAAAAATTCGCGACATACCTACAAAAGATTTAGTCTGCAACTTAAATTCATGTTTCTATTAATTTTTTTTCTTATTCTCTTAAGAGTCGTTGAACCGCGTGTGGACTAGGAAGTTTTTTTACCTCTTAAAACCGTTAACAAATTGACTAGATTAAATTAACTCCAATAATTGCGATATATATATATACTTTCGTTTTTGGAATCATTGACATACTAGATTTATTTGTTTTTCTACTTCTAATATTATTGAAAAATATATATAATATAAGATTGTTGACGTCTTTCTCTTCGAAACGAAATTGCGTGTATGTTCTATACGACGCTAATTAACAATCGATATTGATTTCGATATTTTTATATACATTATTTTTAATGAATAAAATGCTTATAATTTTAACTGCATATAAATAATAGTAATTCTTAAGTATCGAATATATTTTTATAGTCAATTTCACAGATTCCAATTTAAAATAATTGTCTGAGTTACGCACGTGTAACACAAGTTAGTATGTAATAAATGAACGACCTCATGCCAAAAATTTAATTCCATACATTTATTAAATGTCGTTATCGTTATTTTTATTTTCCAATCGTATCAATTCAGGTAAATATTTAAAGTTAAAAATGAATGTTTATTTAGTTAACATTAAGAGTTATTATAACCTAATAAAGAAAATAGTGTTTCAATTAAAAATTTCTAATTAATAAAAATACTTTACTAAATTTAAATTAATTTCTTTGATAAGTATTAATTTTATTAAATGATATAATAGTATAAAAGTGATAATTATTTATGTTTTTGAATAATTAACAGCTTTTTTAAACGAATAACAAATTTTAACATAATTTCTTATAAAATAAATATACTCTGAATAAGAATTGTATAACAGAAATATATCATTGCTTTTCTATAATTTTATAATAAAATATTATTTGTCTTTAGAAAATGGTTGATTTACTGTACGCAGATTTGTTATACGCATGAAACATTGTTAACAAAATTCCACGTTTAATGAATACATTTATCAATCATTTAAAGTATATATTTTTAGTACGACGCAATACATTGAAAAATGAATATTTAGGTATTATAATATTATTTTTATGATATAATTAATTTCATGTGTAATTAATACTTCATTTCTTGTTAAGAATCAATGTATGCATAAATTCTTTATTTAGTAGGTGCATTCATTCGTATGTCTGTATTTAAACGCTTTTATGCTTATAATAACAGAGATAGATTTATGTTTTTTGATGATCATCTATGTATTTACGTTGTATCTTTAAATCAATATGTTAAACTAATATATACAAGATCAAAAATACGTATAAAAATTTTTACCTCGTGGATATCTACAAATATATTTTATATTTTTGATTATTTTTTTTATATCATACAACCGTAAAAATCACGATGATGTTCTTTATAATCGACGAATAGGTAAAAAGCTGTTGAATTTCGAAATATTAAATAATTCTAATAAAATGGATAGTGCTCGTTTATAAATATAAATGGGATACTAAAAATAAATAAATATTATACCATTAATGTAAGTATCGCGACATAGATGTATAAATTCTACATAGATTATAAAAATAATATATTTAATAATAGATGCGACTTATCTGCATGTCGTGTAACGTCTTTATATCTTACCTTTTACCATTGGTGACAAAACGTATATACATATTTACATGTCATTAGTAATACTAAGCATTATATTTATTATTTATTACTTGCACCTGTGTGTATAAAATACGTATATATAAATACACACGCATGCATATATTATGTTTTCATACGAAAAAGATTTACTATTCAAAATTTAATTCAAAATAAAATTAAGCACTGTAATGAACGTTAAATAAAACTTATTTTTCGAAATATTATCGAGTCCTGTTACATTGAGATAACATCAACAATTGATAATTAATTCTATTCGATTCACTGTACGAAAATTACTGTTTCTCCATCGTTTGCTTTTTTAATTTTATTTTATCAATTAATACATTACTATTTTTTGTTCCATTCTATAGAGTAATATTACGATCTTTGCTTCATCTATTTCAATCATATGTGCGAATGAGGAGACCACATAGTTCTCAATTTTGATGTATGTTTTTCAATTACACGCAGTTTATTGATTAAAAATCGATTAAAAAGATTAAAGATCAAAGATTAAAGATTATGATTAAAAATCGCTGAAACGACGAATAGCTTATTAATAATTGACATATTTAAATATTACTTAAATAACATGAATTTTATTTCAATAATTTAAATTCTTTTTTGGATATACAATTAATAAATACTCGATTTAATAATCGTGTCTTACTGGAAGCACAACGATGTTGGAAAAATTCAAAAAGCTGTGCAGCCTATCATTATAACTATACAAAAATTGCGAAGCTGATTGGATTTGAAGGCGTTATATTTTGCTGATATGTAACGTACAATGCTTTTCCATACTTTCTAAACACATCACTTTTTAAGTATTATTTTTATTTATTCGCTTTCCCGATGTTTGACTGATGCCCGAAAAACATGAGCGCAACCCTACTGGGAAGATCGAGTTTTAATACTTGGTAGGAGATGGAAATAGACATCGAAACGTGCAGCATAGTACGAAATTTGAAGGTTCGCAGGGAAGCTCTTCGTCCGTCGAAGAGGAGAAAGATAAAAAGATAAATAAATATTTTTTTAAATCCCGTAGCTCTTGTGAATAATATTTATATTGTTTTTTTTTTAATTTATAAATTTACAGTTATTAATTTATTTTTAACATTAAGCATAAAGCTCGTAGAAATACATCATTATCGTTTGACAATGTACCATGTATCCCATTTTGGAGAAGAAAAGAAAATAGACCTAGACTTGCCTCATTTCTACATACTTATGGCTCTCATTGCATAAAGATATTATTGAGTAGGTATACGTAAAAGCATTTACAAGTGTGGTCATTTACATGATACATATATCTATTTTTTATGTTGATTGAACATGTGTTAAATATATCATACGAAAAGCAGTCTTCTGTGCAGCCTTGACTCATATTTGTTTTTTCTACGTAGAGTGTGCATTATTTTCTGAAATAATTAATTTTTTGTTTAATCCATTTTCTTTCTTGTATTCTCGAGTATATTTTTATTATATTTTGTACTTTG